TGATGCGTGCGCTAGAGAAGTATAGCGTGGACTCCAGGTGAGTGCATCTTTTCCTTTTTATCGTACATATTATTGAGAGTTCTATCGACAACTTTAAATTGATTAGGCATATTACTTTCATATATAATTATTGTGAATGCTTGAAGTACTATGTGAACTACGAATGGCTTGATCCCTGTTTAGGGTACGTAGGCAGTCTAACGAGACGTTAGATGCAGCCATAAAATATTTGAGACAAAAGCCTTGCTTGGGAAATTGAGAAATGCGAAGGAAATTGGTAAAGACAAGTTTTAGTTTTGTGAATTAGTTAGTTAAATTAGAGTTAATTGGGTTGTCATGGATAATTATCCTTGAAAATAAGTAGTTTGGGAATAGGGCGTTATTGATTGTGCACTTCATACCATATTGTTTATAATTGAAAATGCCACGACATGGTTGAGTAGTAGATTGCATCATGATATATCCATATGTATATTACTTGCATATAATTATTGGGAATGCTTTCAAGTGCAAAGGTGAACTCAAGACACCCAGGTAAGTTCAGGTGAGTTTATGGTACTAGTTGAATCGATTGCGTTATAGCATGACTACAGTTATGAGTTAGGCAACTTCGATACTGTTGTACTGGTTGCCATGAGTTGCACATGTTATATTGAGATGCATTGAAAGTTCATAAACCTGCACCCCGGTGTTAATGCTCCCGTCCGTGGCCAGGGCACAGTCCTTCACGTGATGTTCACCTCCCGCACCTTACGCTCACCTTAGATCCAAGGTAGGTGCACAGTTCTGTCGTACAGACCACTTTAGGTGGTTCCGACTCGTAGGTGACCTGCGATTATTCGCCCAGTCTTCACGTGATCGTAGCACTCGAGCGTATTTATTTACACCCAGTCCTGTCGTACAGACCACTTTAGGTGGTTCCGACTCGTGTGCAGGTATACTTATTGAGCTATATGCTAGCCAGGATTAACGAGATATGGATAAGTCGTACAGGTCACTATAAGTGACTCCGACTTATATGCTAGCCAGGATTGACGAGATATGGATAAGTTGTACAGGTCACTATAGGTGACTCCGACTTATATGCTAGCCAGGATTGAGGAGATATGGATAAGTCGTACAGGTCACTATAGGTGACTCCGACTTATATGCTAGCCAGGATTGACGAGATATGGATAAGTCGTACAGGTCACTATAGGTGACTCCGACTTATATGCTAGCCATGATTGATGAGATACGGATAAGTTGTACATGTCATTTTAGCTGACTCTAACTGATATATCACTTTGTATTGATTTAGTTCATTTGGCCTACTTATTAATGTATGGTGGATGTGATGGCAAACCGTGGTTTTGGTCATTTCCGAGTATGGTTTGGATATATGTATATATGTTGTACTGTCTTATGGAAAACGATACGGGTTTTACATTTAGGGGCATTACTTTTAGAGAGGTAATAACTTTGGGAAGCTTGGTTTTATTGCTTACTCACACCTTCTGTTTGGTGCCCTCCAGGTTTTAGCTACTGAGTTTGTATCGACAAGAATCTGTGGCGAATCTTAGTATTGATGGATATTTTTTTAGGGTATGATTCTTACCCACATTACGGTACCTTACTTATGCTCTGACATCGCGTGTGAAATGGGTTCGCTCCCACTCGTAGCGCACTCTGGTATTTAGACACTTTTAGATTCAAATTCATTCACTTTTTTATACACTATCACATTTTATGGCTTCGTCACCTTCCAGGTGTCGGCCATCATAGCTCGATTCAAGGTCCAAGTGGACTTTCTGGGTTGGGTTGTGTCATATGTTTATTTTATACAATAAATTTAATTAAATCCATTTAGTTAGCCCCAAGCCGCAACCGACTCCTAGATTTTAATGGATGGTCCCTCTGCTAGCAGATGGTCCCCCTACATAAAGATAACTTCTGTGGAGTCATTTTCAAATGGATGGTCTCTTTGCTGATTCCTAGTGCTATGGGTGGGTAGGAATAAATGAGTGAGGACTCTTCTCGGAGTCTCTTTGTGTAGATTTTGAGGATCTTTTAATTATATCTGTTCATTGTATATTGAGTGGTCAATTTTTATCAGGTAGTGTTTATATTCAATTTTAAATATAAAAATTTACAATGATATCAGATCGCACAATGTACGAAGAAGAACGGATATGATTGAATGATCTCTGGATCCTCACAAAGAAGATCTAGCAAGGATCCTCTGGTTGGTACCAGGTTAAGTCAGTTTCTTTCAGTCACTCTCACAGTTATAGAGTGCAAGCTGGCAACCATATATTCTGTGTGATATAAAAGCTGAACATATTTCATTTCATATTATTTTTTATGTCAATTCAGTTCATACATTTTATTGTCAAATATTTCATTTCATATTTACTTAGAACATGAAATATCACTAGATCAATAATGTTTGAAGGAAAGTTTTGAGATAGCAGCTGAAGTGGTAAGAGAAGTTTGTTGAAGAGCGATTAGATTTGTGCTGAAAAACAATTAAGTTGATAGAAGAATCATTCAAGATTTTGTTTAATAGTAAATATTGAAGTGAAGGGGCCACTAAAATAAATGGTCAAAGTTCAAAAGGAATCCTCTTTGTTTTTCCTAGTACTTCTGCCTTGCATTTGCCCCGTGATTCAAAAATAATATGTGGTTGTTTGATAACAACCATTTTGACTTTTTAAAATAAAATAAAAATTTGAAAACTAAAAATTTGTTTGATAACAATCTTCAATCATTTTAATAGATGAAAACTAAAAACTGAAAGATAAAAACTAAAAACTAACTCAAAACCTAAAAAAATGATTGCTAAATCAAGTGATTATATATATACATGCCCTTTAAGGGAAGAGATTCTTATTTTAAAAAATAAAATAAGGATACTCCTCTTGACCGTTAGATTTGACTTTAATGAAATTCTGTGTTTAAGATTAAATCACAGACCACAAAATCTCAACCACAGGATTTCATTAAAGTCAAATCTAACAGTCAAGAGGATGTCCCCCTTTTTTTTTTTTTTTTTTTTTTGAAAAATGGGGATCCCTTCCCTTAAAGACTTCCTATATATTAGATAGGCCCTTTATGCAAAGGGATTCTTATTTTTATTTTTTCAAAAAATAGAGATTAAGTGTGGGGTTCACTCCACATCGAACTTTAACGATCCAAACCGTCTATTTTGTAAGTCTCAATTCAGAGATCATCCTTACAAAAATTCAATTCAATCTGAAACCATTTATCAATTTAATTATCAAGATAAAATTTCATTGTTTTTTATATAACAAAGTATTTGTTAATTTCTTTGAACTCAATTAAATGTCTTAAACATTTCGGATTTGGCTAATATTTTGCAAGGATGATCTATGAGGTGCAACTTGAAAAATAGACGGTTCGGATCGTTAAAATTCGATGTTGTGTGGACCCTACAACTAATCCCCATTTAAAAAAAAAAAAAAAGAGGATCCCTTCCATTAAAGGTTTCCCTATATATATGAGCATTTCATATGAGATATTAAAGAAACTTAGTGAATTCTTGTTGATATTTTTAGTTATCATTTTCACTTATTATTGACTTTGGCCTATAACCAGAACCATTCCTCTTCGAAACAAAAATTCATATAAACTTTCTTTTAGAATTTATATAATTATCCATCACCCAAATTATACATTTCCTTATATAAGAAGACGTATAGTTTTGGTAATGGATATTAATCTACAAGACTACAACACTTGGTAATGATTTGTCAAATTTTTGTCAATTTTGTATTGAAATGCAGTATCATCCAATTACACTGCTTTGTACATATTAGTATTAACCAGTCAAATGGCTTCTAATTTTTAAACACCAAAAACTATTTGGAGCTTTGAGAGATTAAATATCAAATATCACATGACATTTAGATTAAATACAAACATTTTAGTGTAATACATATTGAAGATCACTTAGTATTACGGTCTTGTGGTATTTCTCTTTACTTGTCAGTAAGAGGACTTGAGTTTGATTCTCACCAAATGCGAAATTGAATCACATTATTGCTAGCTCATTATGAGGCTAAGCCCACCCTTACCCCTCCCTTTTAAGGTAAATTACATAACACTACCTCAACTATAGGTCGAACCACAATTTCATACCTTATATTTCAAACATTGCAATGTCATACCTCAACTTATGAATTCGTTGCAATGTCAGACCTCCTTTAAATTTTCTGTCAATTTGGCTATCAATAGTGGAGCCAGAAAATTTTTCTTGGGTGGGCTAGCTAAAATTATTAGCATGTAATCATATGATATTTCTTTTACCCACATAAAATTATATAATAATCTACATAAAAGTAAGAACATGAAGTACTAATCCAAATGAGTTTATTAATTACTTTCCAACTAATTTTTACACAAATAAAACATGCATACAAAAAAGCAATAGAAAGAGAACAAATATATCACTTTTGTTGATAACAAGTACCCAAAAGAAAAAACAGGTTAGGGGATACCAATTCAAGTTGTGCCCCTGTAATGGAATTGAAATCTTTTGTTATTATCAGAATTAATATTGTTGTAGAACCCTTTTTATTAGTTACAAATACAAGAACCATGAAACATGGGCTTCCCAAAATCTTTAACCTTAATAGACAAATTCAAGGACTAAAAAAAAAAAAAAAATTAACCTAACAATTGAGTCAGGAAATAAGTTAATGAAGAGATGAAGAAATACTTGGTGTTGAATTTCATTAGAAAATAATTTGATGGTGATTCATAGTTTTTCTTTTCTTGGGAAAGCAACGCAGCTTTGTGGAGTAGGGTAGAGGGTTTTTTTGTTTGAACGAATGGGGTAAAAAGCATGGAGAGTAGGATAAACCTAATTATGTATTAATTTACCATTTTTACTTTTAGCCTCAAAATAATATATAAGGTAATAAAAGTATTATTTGACAAAAAAAAGTATTATTTATAAATTAAGAAACACATTAACTATTAGTTTTGACAGGATTTGGATGGGCTATTATACTTACAATAAACAACAACGACCTCATATATAAACTATTATAGCTGCAATTTGTTAAAATCCTTCCTAGGCTACAACAACACACTGTAGCTGGGTGTAGCTCCGCCAATGTTGGCTATTAACTGCTAAAGTGGCGGACAACAAGGCCACTCACTCACCTGGAACAAAAAATTATTAATTATCAATAAATTATTAATTTTTTATTTAAATTAAAATTAATCTAAAAAAAATAAAATAAAATAAACTTTATCTCCTTCCTGTTCGTCCCCTTCATTTCCTCATCTCCATACTCCTATTTCCTAACCCAAACCCTAGTTGCAGAACCCATTTCTTCTTCCGAGCCCAAGCAACAATAGCAACCCGCATACAATTTCGAAACTTTCCTCCTCGGTGACATCGGGCTAGGAGGCGGTGGATCCTATGTCAACCTTACGCGGTCGTCCATCTCAAGCTCCGATCTTCTCCTCCGCAGAAAACCCTTTAAATTTGTCAACGGGAATCTCAGCAACCCACCATCGTTTTCCACCGAATTCGCGTTCTCGATGACGCCTGGCAGGGGCGACGATTTCTTGGTCGTCTTTGCTCCTGGAGATTTGGCGTCTGGATTATCGGATAAGGGCCCATTGAGGATTAACGGTGAGAATCGGTTTGTGGGTACTGAATTTGATACTGAAATTGAATGGAAATAGGAAGAGGAGATGAGAATGAAGGGACCAACAAGAAGGAGAGAGAGAGTTTTTTTTTTTCTTAATTAATTATTTTTCAGATACAAATTTAATAATTAATCAGTAATTAATAATTTTTATTCCTGTTGACGAAGGAGTGGACCCTGTTCCTGCCACTTCATCATTTAACAGCCAAATTGATAGAAAACTTAACGAAGGTATGCCATTGCAACGCATACATAAGTTAAGGTATGATATTGTAATGTTTAAACATGAGGTTTACGATTGTAATTCGACCTAAAGTTGAGGTAATTTTGTGTAATACTCATAAAAAAAAAACATATTGAAAAATCGAACAGGAAACTAAAATACATGCCATTGTGTTAGTGGCTAATAACCATCCAACATATAAATGTGTCTTATGGTCTTTAAATGGGATCGATAATCACTGATAGGATTCGATTCTTTGCTATTGCATCTGGAGCTCCATGCCCATCACCATATTGGTATACGCATTGGGAAATCCGAGCAAGGTTTATTGCTGCTTTTACAAACTGCTTTGTAAATGGAGAAGCAGAAGCTTCATCCTTGTTCAGCTTCTTCCAACTATTTTCAACCAAATTACTTATATATTCACGAACAGATTCCTCGGAAATATTCAGACTGTCACGCATCATGCATGAGATTGAATTCGCAGTTTCTCCTCTCTCCACTTCTGCCTGCAGTGTGACAACAAATTAGTATAGTGAAGATAAATTAATACATGCATGATGCATTAAAGTACATATTAAAAACAAATTAAGGGATCGTTTGATAATTATTTTGTTTTTGTGAAAACCATAAACTTGTTAAAACTTTTGAGACTTTTCAATAGGAGCTGATTTTCAGCCTCTCGCACAATTATTTTTATTTCAAACATTAGATTGAATAAATCAAATGAAATAGTGATACAGAATTAAACAGGGAAGTGGAGGAGGTAAAAAATAGTGTGTTTTTATTATTGTCCTTTCAAGTTTGATTTTGGTTTTCAGTTTTTATTTTTTATTTAAAAACCTCAGAGCTGTACAAAGTTACTAAACAGATTTTTAATCTTCAGTCTAAAAATGAAAAACTAAAATAGTTATTAAAAGGAATTTGAATTAAATACATACTGCCGAAGTACTCAAATCATTGGAAAGCCGAAAAATAAGAGATGGCCAACGCAAGAGGTTGTGGTGATTCTCTAAGCATTCAAGTGTTTGCTTTGTGATCTTTGGGTTGAGGAGAAAATATGTATGAAGTAAGATCACCACCCCAGAGACTGATATCCACGCATTGTCAATATATTCTTCAAATGTGGGTGTGTGCTTGTTATAGCACCACGTTGTCTCTTTTAGAAATGCTTTGCACAAATCAGCCCACTGAGATATGTATAATTCAAAAGATTGCAGTTAATTAATATTGGAAACATAAATTATAATTTAATTAGAGAATAATATGATATTATTAATGTGATTAATTTTATGTCTAAGTAGCATTTTTGGATATATGATATATGAATGTAGTGTACGTACAGCTTTGGTGACATAAGGGAGGACGTTTTCTCCTTGCTCCTTTAAAGTGTCATAAACCATCTCATTCACTGTATTGTAAAGAGCTAGAAAACAAAGCTTCATGTAATTTGGGAGAATTTGTATAAATTTGATGTCCCATCTGAGCAGCATAAGTACGCAATTAAGGATTAATTATGAGATTGTTAATGAAACGCAGAGAAGAGTTCATCCCGCGCAATCTATATATATATATATATATATATATATATAAACACAATAGAAAATTTCTAACCTTTCAACTGCAGAAGTAAAAAGCTCTAGTTCATCCAAAGTACCATAAACATCATAGACATCATCAATGGTGGTTACTAGAGCAGCCACTTTTGCCAGCCCTTTCCTGGCATGACTGTGTTGAGGTTCAAAGACGATTCCAACCGACCAAAAAAAGCACTCCATCAATCTGTCTCTGGTGAAGCTCAACTTCTTTGCTAAGCCCATATCCGCCCACCACCTAAATGCAATATTAATGAAGCAAATACACTGATTGAGTTAGGATAATGCTTATGGTCGTAAGTATATAATTCCCTTGATGGTTTAAAACATATATACAATTGTACTCCTAATTCTGTGTTTGATTCTCTCTTCCCAAATATAGTTACCTTGATACTTCTTGAAGATCCATTTGGAGTGTGCATTGCACCCGGTTAAAATCTCGCTTGGCAATTTCAAGTAGCACCTGATTTGCATCTGGCCTTTTACTGTATGCCTCAATATACCACCTAGCTTCTAATCTTTGCATTCTATGGTGCAGTGGAAGTTCCAGTGCATGACTAACTTGTTCTGCTAGTCCTTTGGTAACATTAGCTCCACTGAGGTTCTTGAGACAAATGGTTGAGAATACAAGGCCCTCGTCCAACAAGCTCTCTCCTTCGAAAGCAAAATATGAAGCTTCATACAGACTTAGCATTCCTTTTACATCCTTGCAAAGCCATGCCTTGAAACTTCCATTCCCGTCCGTGAATCTACTGAATACATCTGCGTTTCATACAAGTTTATTATGTACATATCTAGTAATTTAGATGGAGAATGCATTTAGAAAGAGAGACTTGAAAATGACTAGAAGTAAATATGAAAGGTCTGTGTTTAATGTCTGAATTTGTAGGGCACTTGTAATTTTGCCGTGTTTCAAAATCACCTTTCAAGTGCTTGAGTAGTTCATTGTTATAGTGTTCTCTTAAAGTGCATTTTTAAGCATTAAGTCTAGTATTATTTGTAACTCACAATCCTCTCATTGAAATATAGTATAAGTGAGTTCATACATGGTATAGTGCTAATAACCAACACTGATTTTAGAGAAGCCCGCACCTCCAAGACTATTTCTAGTTTCTCGAAGCCTTGCACCTTAAGTCTCGCATATGTATCCATACGAGCTAGAATCCTACTAAATATAGTTTTGATGTAATCATACCGAATATACCTAATGAAACTATGTGGTATCAACTGTATATGATAAATGTATTTTTCTATACATCGATATATTTAAACTAAAGGAGTGAGATAATAAATTGGTTGCAAACTCTCCACTTTCGCACTTATTAGTAAATATGAATATTACTAAATTCTAATGTTGAGTTGCAATGATAAAAAGTTAAATTTAGGTGTAATTTGTTTAGATTTAAGGTAGCTAGCTGTTAATCCACAAATTAAGTACTTTCTGGGTTAAAATCCTATTCTATAATTTACATAAATTTAATGTAGATTATCTGTCATTTGTAACAATAAATAACAAAAAGTTCACGTATTACATACTTTGGGAGACCTCAAATCCATGTTGTCTAAGGAGCCTGAAGCTGAGAGCAGTGAAGTGGAGACTCTGGTCAATTCTCTGGTCATCAATGTTGTTCAATATTTTATCAAGGGCTCTCGTTATGTCCTCCTCAAAGTGATATCCCAAACCTAACTGTTGGATGTCATCAATGAACTCAAGCATAGTCAACGTGTTGATTTCATCATCATCGTAATCAATCATATGCTTAACTTTCTCCTCAAGAAACTTCCACCCGTCCTTGTATGCTTTATCCTACAATAGTAATTAAGTGTAAGTAATACGTCTAGATAAAACTTGTATCCTATATATTGTATCTTCAAGTTCGGTTCAGCAGTCTACGACTAATTACTTTGATACTATATTCAATTTAACTACATGCATGTACAATTCAATATGATTTAATTACATGCATGTACAATTAGATATGTATGAGCAAAAGGCCTCAAAACAAAATTTAACGTCACGAGGTTTTTGATGTTTGTTACATTCCAACGGCATGAACTTTTTTGGTCTTTTAAATACTAAACAAAAGCGCAAATGGACACACAAGAGAGAAAGAAAAAAAATATTGTCGTAATTAAAATCGTAATTCCAAATCGATCTATCACCTGTAGGGTATTATGATCAATCTTCAAGGACTGAATAAAATCGTAATTCCATATGCTTGGCTTGTAGGTGCCAGGGCTTCGAAAATGCGTAATATTATTCATCGAGGAGCAATGTGGCTGCAAGAAACAAGCTGAAGCTACTAGAACCATTTTTGTGAATTTGATATCAAAAGATGGACATATATAAGGCAGTGATGCATGGTATGTTAGTTTATCGTGCCCTCTTATTTCAGATTATTTACGATCAAGCTCGTGCTTCTTGTCAGCATGTCCTTGTTGCTTTGCTTTTAGGTTGGTCCAACATGTCCAATTGCTAGGACTTCTGATCTCGTGAAGGCCATGTAGGACCGTTTGTCGTCGAAGAAAGAGGTTGCATGCTTTGAACAATGAAAAGTAAAAATGTGCGACAGCCAAACGAAAGAACCAAAACCGAAACCCAATGGGGTTTGGTCCAGTGGATAGAAGCTGGCTAGGCCATAAGTTGGACGGTTCTTCTGAGTACCATCTCTAGGGAGGTTAGGAGTTCGACCGCTTGTAAAAAAACCTCTTGAGGAGAGCTTTCTGTAAAAACAGCGATCCGGTTCGGAATGGTATCCCACTACTACCGTTATTATTATTATTTTTTTTTACCAAAAGAAAAATGAACGCAACCGAAAATTACATGCATGTACTTGGAATTAGTCACTGTTGATATTGAAGGGACTCTTCAGTGGTCCTCAGCTCATGTTTTTTCAATTTCACGTGTTTTGTGGTTTAAGTTTTATTTAGTTTTAGTTATATTACAGTATCATATATTTTGAGAGTGGCTAGACCCACTCATTTGTTTTATTTTCCTATTTACCTTATATCACCAACCACCATATTCTTATTTTTAAAACATAGCAGCCTCTCCACCCGTCCACCTCCAGGGGCGGAGACATGGAGGCTAGTTGAGGCCTATGCCTATTCTGAAATTTTACTAATATACAGTTACTGTCCGCTAAGTTTGGCAATAATTTTTTTAAATGAGGATTAGGACCTCGATCAAAATATTTAAACAAGCATAAAGTTTCAATCTAACAATTAGGTTGATTAGGCATTGGAACCAAAAACTTCAAAACTCTAACTTCAAAGTTTTATTTGAATATATAACATTAAAATTGAAGAACTATCTTTTTTTAGTGTGTTATTATTGACAATCAATATATATCATTGTAATCCAAATTTTTATATACAATAATGTTAGGGAGATTAAATTTGTAGACAAAATTTTTTAAATTAAATGACATGTGAGTTGATGATTGAATTATTACTAAAGCGTTGATAAACGTGTTCATTTCTTATTGGTGACACATCATTTAGTTTACAAATTTAACCTCAATAGCAATACCCAAAGCTACTCTTATAAGAAATACATAATAAAATTTTAAAGTACTAACAAAATAAATTTTCTAAATATAGAACATTATTACATAATACTAGATGGAAATTTTTTTAAAAGCCTCTTCAAATTTGAGGTGTTATGGGACCGCACCTTTCACTCTCCCCTCCACCATCCCCCTCTGATTCACACGTTTTTATTTCATTGGCTTTTTCACCTGCATTGCTTTTTGTAATCCAAAATGTCTGAAAGTAACGAAAATATATCTGCATAAAGTAGCATTGCTTTTTATATCACTCCATCAATCTGTCTCTGATGAAGCAAAGTTACTATTAAGAGAAATGTGATATCATAATAGTTGAATGAGAATCAGAATTGATATATGGTACAAGTAGTACTAGTAGAAATATGTTTTATAAAATTGATGGAAAGGATGAAGCAAAGGGTAGGTACCAAGTTGAATTATAAATACATTCCCGCCCTTTTCAGTTACCACAAACTGATTAAATTTAGATTAATGCTTATGGTCGTATGTATATAATAATGAAAATAATAAACACACCATTTTTTGTCCTCATACATTCTCATTTTAATTGTGTTTATTGTTTTTGTTCAATTTATTTCATTTGATGATAAAAAATAAAGAGAGGTGTTGATGAAGCTAAAAAACGTGTGAAAATTTTCTCCCTATATAACCTTGATGGGTATAACGTATACTTTATACTCTTAATCCTATATTCGATTCTCTTGTCCCAAATATTGCATGTATAAGAGGGAAAAAATATATGATTACCTTGATACTTCTTGAAGATACATTTGGAGTGTACATTGCACCCTGGTAAAATCTTGCTTGGCAATTTCAAGTAGTATCTTTTTTGCATCTGGCCTTTTACTGTATGCCTCAATATTCCATCTAGCTTCTAATCTTTGCATTCTGTGGTGCAGTGGAAGTTCCACTGCATGACTCACTCGTTCTGCTAGTCCTTTCAAACAACTGATTATAAGTTCACAATGAGATTAAGAAATACCTAAACTTACTAATTCAACTTAATGTATTTTAATTAGTAAGTACCTTATCTTAATTGAAGTATGTATCACACTAAATACTTCGATTATTTTAGTGATTTGAGAATTTCTTTTCCATTGGCATGAAATTACAAATTATGAGGTGGCTCTTTACAACAGTAGTGGAAAAAAGTTGAGCCCTTGCATGATGCGTGAATTCGAATATTGTCGGTGACTAATCTAACATCTAATCTAACAAAATCTATCATTTGATAAAAAAAATAAAGTAAATTACACAAAGCTACCTCAACTTTAGGTCAAACAACAATCTCATACCTCATGTTTTAAAAAATACAATGTCATACATCATCTTACAAATTTGTTACAATGTTAGACCTCTGTTAAAAATTCTGTTAATTTGTTTGTTAACTGCTGACGTGGCAGACAGAGGTCCCACTCTGTTAACCAATTGAATTAAAAAATTAATTAAATATTAAAAAATTTAAATATTAATTAAATATTAAAAGTTTAAAAATAAATTAAAAATTAAAAAAACTAAAAAATCATTTCCAATTCTCTCTCGCCCTTTTGACCAAAAAAAAAACGGAATTGTCTCTCTCCCTCCTTCGGGCTCTCGTTTCTGGGCAAGGATTATCTGCCCTTTCATTTTCGGTGTCCTTTTATATTTTTTTTGTTTGTGTGGTCACAGTTAAGTCACGTTAGTATTTTATATTATTTTTTTTATAGAGATAATAAGATAAAAATAAATAGTAATATAAAATATTAACGTGACTTAACCGTGATTACATAAATAGGAGAACACGGAAGACCTGAAGTGCGAGGGCAGACAATCCTCGTCGCTCGTTTCTCCCAATCCGCTATTCCCACGAGCCACTGAGTGAAACCCGACCCCTAGAACCTGCTGACTCGCCACTGCAAATCGTCGCACCTGCTCATTACCGAACCACTTGCATCCCCCCATCACTTGCATGAACGCCGCACTTGATCTGTGATGCCCACAACTTGCACTGTCGCCAGAACGCAGCTAATCCCGAACCACCATGATCCGCACCTGCTGCTGCTCGACCCATCGCAAACCCGCGCCTGCATGACCACCTGTTGTCTGCAATCTGTACCCCCTATTTGAAAGACAAACACGATGTGTCTCCTCCAGCGAATCTAAGGCACTTCGATGATCAATCTCAAGATCCACCGTCGCACATCGATCGATTGATCGTTCCCATTTCTCCGTTGAAATCCCAAATCCATTTTTATTTCCCTGATTTGTTAGATTTAGTTTGCGTTTTATCGACTAGCGTCGATCACATTGAATAACGCCACTGCCAGGCTCAGCATCACGCCATCATCTGCGTTCACAGGCGGGGTGGGAGGTTGGGTTTGCCCTTCGATTCAACTGAAAACCATCGAATAGTTGCCTCCGGTGAGGTTTCGGTTTGTTCTTCGAGTTCGCTATCGATAGGAAGGAAGGAGGGAGACAGATGAGAGAGAATTGAAAGAGATTTTTTAATATTTAATTATTTTTTAAATTCAATTGGGCAAGAGAGTGGGTCTTTTGATTCCCATGTCAGCAATTAACAGACAAATTAAAATATTTTTTTAATGAAGATCTAACATTATAACAAATTTGTAAGAAGAGATTTGACATTGTAATTTTTAAAACATGAGGTATGAGATTGAGGTTCGATCATTGTTGAGATAGTTTTGTGTAATTTACCTTAGAGAGATTATATTCACACACCCAAATTACTTCTCCCACACCCATTTAATTTTTTAATATTTTTCTAGCAAGTGTTAGTGGTGTGTAGAAAATATTAAAAAATTAAAAAGGTGTGAGAAGTAATTTGAGATGTGTGAATATAATCTCTCTTTAGCTTATGGTTAAAAAAATGAGTTTATAGAAAAAGGAATGGTATGGGAGATAAAAGGACAGGCGTCAGTGACAATTGACATACAAGTTTAATTTGTGGGAGGTGGATTGCCTGCCTTCCTATTTTCGTACTCTCCCCATACCCTTCTTTTTGTAATGTCACGGTTAAGTCATATCAACATTTTATATTCCTATTACTTTTTGTTTTATTATTTCTATAAAAAATTAATATAAAATATTGACGTGGCTTAATCGTGACCACATATCACAGGAGAACATGGAGAGAGTATGGAAATGGGAGGGCAAACAATCCACCTCCTAATTTGTGTTGTATTTGCGGGCCCTATTAAATAATTTTTTATACAACAATATTATTTACATTAAGACCATATCCGATCATTTGGTTAAAACTTAAAATTTTTAACCTAGAAAATTTGGGTTTTAACCTATAAACAGTTTTTCTCCTCCAACTCTTCTGGATTAATTTTTTAGCCCGAGATTCTTAAAGAATGAATTTAGGTTAATTTTTCTCTTAAAGTAACTTTTTAAATAAAAAAAAATGTAGACTGTCCTAATTTAGTTTTATTAACATTTTAACCAGTGTTCTAAAAATCGGTCTAGGGGCTCGACGGAGGATCCCTGACCCGATTTAGGCCAAAATGTTCATACAAGGCGGGGAAGATTTAGGCGGCCGCCTAGGCGCTAGCTAGGCACTCTAGGCAGTTTGGGCAGTTCTAAGCGGCTGTCTAGGCGGCTCTGCAACTCTTATGTACGATCTACAACGTCCAATCTTAAAGTGGAGCCTCGGTTGAGATTCTGCAGCTCATCGTTTCTGAGTAGAAGAGGAAAAAGATAAACTCTTAACTTTTAAGGTATCAA